GCAGGAACTGCAGATAAATCCCCATTTGTAATATCAACAAGGAGTTCTTGTGGTTAGTCAGTGGCAGAACACACCTACTGGAGGTATGCAAAACTCATGTGTCAGGGCAGAACAAAAGCGTGAAAACTGTCATTAATTGCTATTCTTAAGATTTCGGATATTGATGACATGTTTTCTGATGTCTGTGTAAGCAACACAGAAAAGAACAGAGCAAATTGGATTCTCAAGTGGTTTAATTCCTTCCTACTTGTATGCCTGCCTGGCAAGACTCTTAATCATTGTGAATCTCAGTTCCAAATTCATGGAACTGAGAACACTACCACCTTCATATGGACTGTTAGGAGGGGTGGTAACCAATACGGATGGAGTGTCTGACACAATGCTGGGCCCATGGTAGGTACTGGTACTTGATAAATGGTAAATATTGCTATTATCTTACAGACCTGCAATGTATTCAGCCATTCATAAAACATAACCTGCTTAATCTTATTATTTCATACAGTTGTCTATGCTAAGGGATCATAGTTATTATAATCTATACGACATTTTTCCAACTTCAGGAAGACAAATCTGCAACTTTTCTCTCAACATTTCCTTCAACACTGAGAAACATAAAAATCAGTTAACAAAGTCACTATTAACAGTCACATGCTCAAACACAACACTAATATTTCAAAGTTAATTTTCATGTAAAACCCAATGGGTCTGGCAAATTCTACCATATGAGTAAATGTCAACTTAAAGAGATTGGACTGGCTGGCGCCGTGGCTCAATAGGCTAATCCTCCGCCTTGCGGCGCTAGCACACCGGGTTCTAGTCCTGGTCGGGGCGCCGGATTCTGTCCCAGTTGCCCCTCTTCCAGGTCAGCTCTCTGCTATGGCCTGGGAGTGCAGTGGAGGATGGCCCAGGTGCTTGGGCCCTGCACCCACATGGGAGACCAGGAGAAACACCTGGCTCCTGCCATCGGATCAGCGCAGTGCGCCACTGGAGGGTGAACCAACGGCAAAAAGGAAGACCTTTCTCTCTCTCTCACTGCCTACTCTGCCTATCAAAAAAAAAAAAAAAAAAAGAGAGAGAGAGAGAGAGATTGGACTGACTTTAGTTATCTTTTTTCCCTTTTCTCATTATGAAGTGCTATACAAAAGAATGAAAATACTGGAATAAAAAGCTGTCTCTATTTAATACCTTATTGGTCTGACAAATGTTACTTTTCTAGTAAGTCTACTAGAACCGATATCTTGGTTTAAACTTTCACTTATTTTTACTGATTCTCTCCTATTGATAAAACTCTGAAATTGGTGAATGAATTAAACTCTGCTCAGAATGCAACATGAAAAGTAATCTCCAACCAAATACTCATACATGCTTAAATTATGTGGCAAATTTAATCCCTTCTAGCTCTGCGGATTCACCATAACTTGGTTCTATTCAGTCTACCCTTACCTTGCTACAAACATTAACCCTTCCATTAATCTGGCCTCCTCTCAACTCCCAACCCACACTCACTCTCACCTCCGGTGCCTTACACAGGACCATCAGCTGCACTGTACTCCTCCTCTGCTCTCCCCCACAGCTTCTGACCTGCACCTGCTTAAGCCCAGGACCTTGACTGCTTTGAACTGTATGATCAACACCTCATTATACACTGCTCTGGCCTTTAATTCACACAATATATCTAAAATTCTTCTCTGTTGATTAGTTTTCTTTTCATTCCTTCACAAGCCCTCTACCCACACAAACATTAAAAGTAAACTTCATGTGAATTATTTTCTATCAGTTCTGATTAGGAAAATATTACTTTTAGACAAGGGAAATTTGATGGTTAATTTTATGGTGCCCATTTGACTGGATTCAGAATACCCAGAGAACTGGAAAAGCATTATTTTGAGTGTCTATGAGGGTGTTTCCTTTGGAGTGTGGCATGTGAGTCTGAGTGGGCGTGGTGGCAAGAGCTGGCCTTGATGTGTGCGGTAGCATCACCTGGTGGGAGTGTGGACAGAATGAACACGGAAAGTACACTGGTCCCTCACTGAGAGCTGGACACACTTGGCTCTCTAGACTTTGTCTTGGGTGTCAACTACTGGCTTTGGGGTTCCAGGACTTAGACCAGTGGCCCAGGCTTCTGGTTTTGAACTGAGAGTGACATTCTTGATTTTCCTGGTTCTGATGCCTTCAGACGTAGACTGAACCGTGCCCTGGCATCCCAGATCTCTACCCTGCAGGTAATCTGTTTGGGAAATCTCTCAGTTGCCATAACTGCATGAACCAACTATCCTAATAAGTCTACTTTCAAATACCTAATATGCATCCTACCAAAATTCTGTTTCTCTAGACAAACCAGATAATCTAGCACATAACAGACAAAATTAACATTTATTGACTACTTTTTAGACTAGCTTTAAAAACAGTCATTCCATATATAAATTCCTTAATTCAGTAATATCAAAGCTTCCTTACCACTATACTTCTACATTTTAGATGGGACTAAAATGCTTTATTTTAGCCAAAATTTCCTCTGAGAACACCCTCTGAACTCAAGGAGTAATTCCCAGAGTTCTCAAAAGAATAAGGATTTCTAGAACATGCCTATTTGTAACTTGTTCCTTCATACAGGGCTACAGATAAAAATAGATTATTAAAAAATGTGCACAAACAGGTAAACATAATATGTATAAGATCTTGAATCCCTCAAACGTTATCATGGCTAAAAAATTTATTTACATGAATGAGCCCCAACATTTCAGAACAAGTGAACTAAGTCTAAGATTTATCATTTTTGTTTCTATTTTGTTTCTTCTTCATTCAGAATCTACTCTGACTGCCTCCCTCTAGGAGGTATTACCCAAGCCACTGAGACTTTAACTGAAGGCTGTAATACCAGGAAAGGGTAATGTCTAAACTTTTTCCTTTGAGGTTTGAATTTATTTAGTGGCCAAACCAAGTTTCCTCTCTTCTCTCTCTCTCTCTCTTTTTTTTTTTTTTTCTTAAACAAACAAGGCTTATAGTATCCTTTCAAATCTCATTACTGTGAATAAACATTATTTTACAAATAATTCAAAATAATAAACATGCCTTTCCATTCATGTTAGCCAGATGCTTATCATAACAAAATAATAAAAGACACAGCTACTGATCTAGAGCAACATCAACAAAAACTATCTTTCTAAGTAAAACACATTAGTTTCAATACTTTCAGTATAGTTCCTAGTAAAACTCTTAAAATTTCAAGACTTGAACAGTACAGACCCAGAACCAGTTTTGAAAAGTGTTCAAATTCTAAGAAATCTGTTAACTGATATTAGGCAAGTATCCTTTTTTTGCAATCTCAGTAATAGCACCATGAGGGGGAAAAGAATTCACGAGTAACAAGACTTCCCTCCTATTCACAATAGCAAATACCACAAGTAAAAGGAAAATTTTAGTTTACTTGAAGTAACTTTGACACCTAGGCAAACCATCAACACTTTTTAAAAACATACACACAAAAAAACTGCCATAAAATATTCATCAATTTTTTAGAGCATGATTAAGGTCTTAAGAAAAAAAGTCTTCAATATTAGAATAGAAAAATCCTTATTAAAAAGATAATCTTCTAAAATATTATTAATTATAATCAAGGACTCACAGAAAATGTTTAGCATGAAAAAGTCAGCCTTATAACCAGTAGTCAAGGGTTGTTACGATACAAGGGACGGAAGGAAGAAATATGTGAAGATCAAAATTTATCACTTACCTCATGATTCAGCTCTGCTATCTGATCTTTCAGTTCCCTAATATACTGGTTAGAATCAGACTTGTTTAGCTGTCCTTGAAGCTTTCCTTCTTCTTTCTGTTTTGTGACAACAAAGCAAAAACAAGAGATAATTTTCACAGCAGGTACTAAAATATTTCAAGAAACAGGGCAGCATAAGTGCATATCCTTCAATTAGCCGAATGCTGATCAAATCCATTCTTAAACTGTCTTTGAAAAGTAACTCAAACTGAATGGCTCCAAATGACGCTTAATGAAAGTTGTTAATAATTTACAAAACGCACCTTTTGAGAGAGTCTTAGAAAACTAATGGATCTTCTAGTGAAAAATATTACCCTAGATTCTAAAGCCACTTATCTAGTTATCTTGAAGGTAGATGACTATCCATGAAACCCATGGCTTAGTCAAGATGGCAGGAAGCCTCCTACAACTACACTGGGCATCTGTTTTTGCCTGGGGAACAGAAAGGAAAGGGCAAAAAGAAAAAAGTTCTTCAGGGGTGAGTGTTGTGGAGCAGCTGGCTAAGCAATCCAGCTCCCTGCTAATGCACCTGGAAAAGCAGTGGAAGATGGCCAGAGTACTGGGGCACTTGCCACTCGTGGTAGATCCAGATGGAATTCCAGGTTCCTGGTTTCAGCCTGGCCCAGCCATGGCCATAGCAGCCATGGAAGAATTCTGTGTGTATGTCTCTCCCTCTTTCTCTGTAACTCTGCCCTTTAAATAAATACATTGGAAAAATTAAAAAAGAAAAAAAAAAACAAAGAATAAGTTCTCCAAATCACTCTCAAAAGGAAAGGGACAGCTCTGTGTCCCTTCTGTTTGATTATCTCAGGAATATACTGGGAGATGGCACTGTGGCATAGCAGATTATGCTTAAGATGACTGCATCTCATATCAGAGCACCATCTCCACTTCTGATCTAGTTTCCTTCTGATGTGCACTTTGGAGGCAGCAGATGATGGCTCAAGTGATTGGGTCTCTGCCACCCATGCGGGAGACTGAGATCAGTTCCTGGCTCTTGGCTTTGGCTTCTCTACAGGCGTTTGGGGAATGAACTGGCAGACAGAAGAGATACAGTCTCATATTCTCTCTCTCTGCCTTTCAAAAAAATAAATCAACCTAAAAATTATATATATGGAGTCCTAGAGATGGCCAGCAAAAAGATCTCCCCAACCCTAAGAGTTCCAAAAAGACTGTTGGGATGATTTTCCAGGAATACAGACTGGGATTGGGATTTGCAGGAACTTCCTTTTTGTTTTTGTTTTTTTGTGTTTTTTTTTTTTTTTTTTGCCTTTTTTTAAAAATTTTTTTGCCAGGCAGAGTTAGACAGTGAGAGAGAGAGACAGAGAGTTACAGACAATGAGAGAGAGACAGAGAGAAAGGTCTTCCTTCCATTGGTTCACTCCCCTAATGGCTACTACGGCCGGCGCTGCGCTGATCCAAAGCCAGGAGCCGTGTACTTCCTCCTGGTCTCTCATGCGGATGCAGGGACCCAAGCACTTGGGCCATTTTCCTCTGCCCTCCCAGGCCACAGCAGAGAGCTGGACTGGAAGAGGAGCAACCGGGACTAGTACCCGGCGCCCCAACCAGGACTAGAACCTGGGGTGCCAGCGCCGCAGGTGGAGGATTAGCCAAGTGAGCCAGGGTGCCGGCCTCCTTTTTGTTTTACATCACCTGAAAACAAACATGAACTTTTTGGATAAAGGGCTTATGAAAGAGTAAAACCAGAACTGTCTTTGGTAACTTAAAATTAGGGAGCCATCTGTTGATGCTTAGCATTTTAAGAAGCTCTGGTCCAGAGACATCTATGGAAAATACTGAATAGCGCCTGATACCAGAATATAGTGCTGGCCCCAATAAATCTTTTTTAAAAAATGGGTTATAGCATTTTCCAATGTGGAGATTCCTATTGCTGGTTTTCAAATCACAGTATGCAAGGCCCTTGGGCATCCTTCAGCCAACTCCACCCTGCTCTTTCTCTACATACTTTCCCCCAACATCTTCGGCAGGAAGTAAGACGAGATAGGACTGCTTCAGCAACTGAACGGGTAGCTACACTTCAGAGTACTGTTCTACACTCGTGGCCCTTGCTACTTCAACTGCATCCCCAACTACTTGTAATCTGTTCTCCAAACATTTTCATCAAGTTATTCCTCTAACTCCTCTCCCTTTTGTTTTGTTTATTTTTCTCTTGGCAATCTGTCTTAAAAGCCTCTAATTGGAAAATGGCCTTACTTCTAACTAATATTTGTACAACTGCGAAAGCAAAATTATACCTTCTACAGGCTTTAAAATGTTTTCTTATATATTTAAACACAAGAATATCAGATACAACATAAGCAAACAACTGTCTTACTTAATAATTACTATAATCCAAAACTTAGATACACAAGATACCTTATGATTTGTAGCCATAAGCCAAATTTAAGAAAAAAAATCCTTCCTTTAAAAATTTGGTTGAAATGTTAGTTTGATCCAATGGCCAGAGAAAAGTCAGAACCAACAAAACAGCAAAGATACCAAGTCCAGAAAACTAATCAAACCATCTGTGAAATCTTCTCTGCTTTTTCATTTACACAAAACAATCAAATACCTTTATTATTAAATCCAGTTTGAACATGGATTTCTGTCACTTGGAAATAAAACAATAATGGTTACTATTTATTGAACACATAGCAGACTTTCTCATTTCAGGTTCCCCAAAGGGATTCAGTCCTGAAGACTACCATGTCACTGCATGTGATTTAATTTTATTCCTATGCAACTAGAGTGGTACTATGGACCATCCTTGCAAGAACTCATTCAAAATGTTTTTTCTGTAGCGTTTAATTTTCTATAGGGCTCTGGTGGAGAGAGATTGGCACTTAGAATGTGCCAGGAATTGTTCTAAGCTCTTCACATGCAATCATGGCAATAACCCTGTGCAAGATACTATCGATGCTCCTATTTCACAGATGAGGAAACTTAAAGACCGAATGAAGGGGTCGGTGTTGTAGCACAGCAGGTAAAGCTGCCTCCTGCAATGCCAGCATTCTCAGCCCTGGACCGGTTCAAGTCCAGGCTGCTCTTCTTCCAATCCAGCTCCATGATAATGTGCCTCAGAAAGCAGTGGATGATGGCCCAAGTCAGGCCCCTGTATTTATGTGGGAGACCCAGAGGAAGCACCTGACTCCTGGCTTTGGACTGGCCCAGCCCCAACCACTGTCACCATTTGGGGAGTGAACCAGTGGATGGAAGATTTCTCTGACTCTCTCTCCCTCTAACTTTGCCTTTCAAATAAATTAAAAAAAAATTTTTTTTTAAAAAAGACTGAATGAACTGGCTGCCTAAGAGTCACAAAGAAACTTTTACCCTAATTTACAGCATTCTGATCAGGAGAAACAATGAAGCAGACAAGTATATATGGAGATTCATGGGAAGGACTGAGTAAATTAGCCTGGATTTGGTACAAAAGTCTTTCTTTATTTAAATATTTATTTTGGTATCTGCTGTTTTAAATGTAAACTGCAATAAATAACTAAAGATGAAAGTTACAGCCCTACATAGCATTTATGGCCTTACAATTAGAGCTAACACACTCGTACGTATGTCTTATGTCTGGATCTTATTTTTTAATATTTATTTATTTATTTGAAAGGCAGAGTTACAGAGAGGCAGAGGGAGAGAGAAGTCTTTCTTCCACTAGTTCATTCCCCAAATGACCACAATGGCCAATGGCCAGAGCTGAGCTGATCTGAAGCCAGGAGCCAGGAGCTTCTTCCAGGTCTCCCACGTGGATGCAAGGGCCTAAAGACTTGGGCCATCTTCTACTGCTTTCACAGGCCACAGCAGAGAGCTGGATCAGAAGTGGAGAAGCCGGGACTTGAACTGGCACCCATATGGGACGCCAGCACAGCAGGCAACGGCTTTACCTGCTACACCACAGCACCAGCCCCTGGATCTTATTTTTAATCATGACACTTTTTTTTTTTTGAGAGTGAGATCATTTTAATGGAAACATTTTAAAGTCACAGATCAAAAGCATTATACAAGAAGATGAAGGAGCTCACGGCTCCAATCCAGTCATATTCATGACTGCTTCATCCCAAGATTTTGATTGACTCTAGACTTACTGCACCTCAGTGCTGCATCTCCATAAAGTGGAAAACAATGATGTCAAGCAGAGGGGAGTGGGTGAGTATAACAGGAAGAAAGACTGCAGGAAGGAGACAAAACAGAAGGAGGGAGAATGTTCACTGATATAAAATAAACAAAACCATTATTCTCATCCCATACATGACATGGGAAGTGGTGGCAGCAAATAAGCTTCCAAAGAGCACTATTTGATAAGAATCACCCCTTTGGATACATAGGATTAGCTGTTCTTTTTGGAGGTGTGTGTGTGTGTGTGTGGCTAGTTTTGGAATCATGTTCACTTGCTTGTTTGATTAAATGAAAAGCAAAGTCCACCACTAGGAAGAAATCCTTCTAGATGAGACGGAAAGACTAAATGTTTGCAATTTGGAGTCAGACTTGGAGACAAGTAGTTTTAAATGAAGGCAAAGTTCTTGTGGACTTTGGACATCCCACAACAATAATATCATGTGGGACAGCAGAAAAATCTAAGGCAAGCAAGATGACAAAGCCCAAGGCAACCATTAACATTGTGAGAAAAGTTCAAGAATGCAGAAAAGACTTTAGGTTTGAAAGACTATAGAGGGGGCAGTGCAGTGGTGCAGTAGGTTAATCCTCTGCCTGCGGCGCCGGCCTCCCATGTGGGCACCAGTTCTAGTCCCAGCTGCTCCTCTTCCAATCCAGCTCTCTGCTATGGCCTGGAAAAGCAGTAGAAGATAGCACAAGTCCTTGGGCCCCTGCACCCATGTGGGAGACCAGAAGAAGCTCCTGGCTCCTGGTTTTGGACTGGCGCAGCTCTGGCTGTTGCAGCCATTTGGGGAGTGAACCAACGGACGGAAGACCTTTCTCTCTGTCTCCCCCTCACTGTCTGTAATTCTCTCTCTCAAATAAATAAACAAAATCTTAAAAAAAAAAAAAAAAGAAAGGCTATAGAATGGGCAGGAACAGTAATTCATACCAACTCTCTGCAAGACCTGGCTGTTCCATTTCCAATCCAGCTCTCTCCTATAGCCTGGGAAAGCAGTAGAAGATGGCCCAAGTGCTTGGGCCCTGCACCCATGTGGGAAACTCGGAAGAAGCTCCTGGCTTAGAATTGGCCCAGCTCTGGCCGTTGCAGCCATTTGGAGAGTGAAACAGTGGATAGAAGGTCCTCCCCCTCCACCACTTCTCTCTCTCTGCCTCTGCCTCTCTGTAACTTTGCCTTTCAAATAAATAAACAAATCTTCAAACAAAATTCCAGCAAAACAGGAATCATTAAATCTTGCTTTACAAAAAGCAACCAAGGGACTCCAAAGATCTGTTTGCTCCAAAGGTGGGTCTTATAGTACTTATAGTACTTAGCTGAAAATTTTGTTATAGCACTTGATTTCTTTGGTGGAAAGACAGTAAACAAAGCAAAACAGGGTAGCTAAAAAACTTTACAATAAGAGGGTGGAATGTTTTAAACAACAAAAACCACTCTGGAAAGACGCTTGTGAAAATCTAAGAAGCCTTCCTGGATTTTATAACTTAAAAAAAATGTGTTCCTTGATCTACTTTTCATTATAGAAAATGAGACAAAACATAAAAAAACTTCACATATCGAGTCCTATTGTATATATTTGTCCCTTTCAGACTTCATGGTAACCACAAAGCTTAATGTTGGGTTTTCTTCTGGAAAACTTTGATATTCAAGAAGTTGGGCTCTGAGATCCTAAGAACCAACTGTTTCTGTGAAGACAACACAAACATACACAAAAAATGGGTAACAGTTTTCAACGCCTACTGGGTCAACCAGCCAGGCTTTGACAAAGACCCCAGGATGAGACAGCTACTATCACAGCGTACCCATTAGTGGCATGCCAGTGTGACAGACACACAAGTTAGGAAGCTCTGCTCTGGATGTCCTGGTTTAACAACTGCCCTAGGGAATACAGCTGGTATTTCAAAAATAAAAGTGAAAAGTGAGAGAGGTCCTAACTGCTATTTAATTAAGTATGAATGACTTTTTATCTAAAAATCTTTGATTTCTTTATGTTCTGCTAATAGGTTCTTATTTAAATGTTAGTTCAAAGCCTTTTAGGATGCTCTTTAAATGTAAAAACTGAGTAACCATATTTTTACAACACCAAAACACATTACAACGTACTACTATACTCTAAGAAGTGGTTGTCTGAGATAGTTCTTTTAGCTATCCAATGGTTAAGATTTTTCTAGAAGTATTTTTATAGCTTTCTATTTTCAAACAGTGTCCATATGTTTGTTTCTGATAAGCAGGTGGGAAAATGTCAGCTACACTAATAAATTTACTAAGATCCTGCATTTTCTTGAGGTTTTCTTTTGGTCTAGCTGATAACAACAGATTGCCAGTTAACTGGTTTCCTAAGTAAAACTAATTAGGTAAGTAACAAACTTAAAGAGGCCCAATATATAAAAAAATATTGGTATTCTACTGCACTTTCATTGTAAAGAGTTTAAATTTATACCTTTTATCACACCACAAATAAAAACTATATTGAGAGTGTAAAGTGACATTCGTGAAAGGTACAAAATCACATCTTTGAATAATTATTTTAGCAATCAGTACTGTTTTCTGCAATAATCTGATTCACATTAGAGTCCTAAGCCAGAGAGCTTTGTACATGAGATTCTTAACCAAAAGGTCATCAGTAACTCAGTTAATAATATGCATGTTTAAATGTTTAGGAGTGAAGTACAGCAAAGTAAGTTACTTTGAAATGTATCAAAGAAGAAAGAGTGGATAAAGAAATGGAGAAGCAAGCACATCAAAATATTAATAGAATGTAGGCTGCAGACTTATGAGTGGTCACTGAACAATTTTTTCAACTTCTGTATGTTCGAAATTTTTAATAGTAAAATACCAGGAGGAAACACAATAAAAATAACTTAATAACCTCATTATCCCCACCATTTGCTGGGAAGCAAGCATGGGTTCACACTGTACTTCATTTTGCATATATGGAAAGAAATGTATCTCCCAAACATTAATGATTTTTCACTTAAAATCTACCTTTTGTTCTGGTAATGGATACTACTCTCTACACATATTACTGGCAACTTAAACTGGAAAGTAATACAGCTTGAGTACCCCTTATCCGAAATGCTTAGGGTCAGAGGTGAGGTCAAGTGTGGAATCTTCCACTTGCAGAGTCATGACTATCTTTAAAATTTTGAAGCATTTCAGATTGTAGATTTTCAGATTAGAGATGCTCAACCTGTACGACTAAATCATATAGACCTTCAGTAAAATAGAATTTTTAAAAGAGTCAGCTGAGTTATAGGTTATATCTATAAAATTTTGTGGTAGATTCTGTGGTTATTACCTCAAAATCCTTTCTCTTATTATGTACTCGCAATAGCACTGGAATTATGCCTATCTAACCCCATAGTTAGGACCTGATAGGCAAGGTCTAAAACAGACAGGATAATCATACTTTTGCACAGTAATTGGTTCAGTGATTGCTCAAGTAGTGTGGCTTTCAAAACTTCTGCTGGAAATTATGGACCATAGAATCTTTTTTTTTTTTTTTTGACAGGCAGAGTGGACAGTGAGAGAGAGAGACAGAGAGAAAGGTCTTCCTTTTGCCGTTGGTTCACCCTCCAATGGCCGCCGCGGCCGGCGCGCACCGCGCTGATTCGATGGCAGGAGCCAGGAGCCAGGTGCTTTTCCTGGTCTCCCATGGGGTGCAGGGCCCAAGCACCTGGGCCATCCTCCACTGCACTCCCTGGCCACAGCAGAGGGCTGGCCTGGAAGAGGGGCAACCGGGATAGAATCCGGCGCCCCGACCGGGACTAGAACCCGGTGTGCCGGCGCCGCTAGGCGGAGGATTAGCCTAGTGAGCCGCGGCGCCGGCCCTGGACCATAGAATCTTATTCTAGACATCATGATACAGGTTAGGTGTTCCTATGAAAACTCGAAATCCAAATTGCTCCAAAATCTACACCTAACTCATGTGATGGGTAGTAGTCAAACAGAGGTATGCTGAAATTATTGGATATAAATAAGTACCTTCAGACTCTGTAAGGTACACATGAAACATAAAGGAATTTCATATTTTGATTTTGATACCATCCTCCAGATATATCATTACGTACATGAAAATATTCTAAAATCTGAATCTAAAACATTTCTGGTCTCAGCACTCCAGGTAAGAGATGCTCAACTTGTATATGAACATAAAGCTCACCCATTAGCCATTTTAACACAATGAGGACAACCTCCTGAGAACAGAGAAGAAAAACAAGGCAGAGCCTTCAGAATCACAGTTAACTGCAAGCTGGAGCCAAATCCAACTTCTCCTGTGTATAGTCCACTTCTAGACTTTTTAGTTACATGACCCAATAAATTGCTTTTATTACTTATGTCAGTTTTTTTTTTGACAGGCAGAGTTAGACAGAGAGAGAGAGAGAGAGAGAGAGAGAGAGAGACAAAGAGAAAGGTCTTCCTTCTGTTGGTTCACTCCCCAAATGGCCACTACGGCCGGCGCACTGCACTGATCCGAAGCCAGGAGCCAGGTGCTTCCTCCTGGTCTCCCATGCGGGTGCAGGGCCCAAGGACTTGGGCCATCCTCCACTGCACTCCCGGGCCACAGCACAAAGCTGGACTGGAAGAGGAGCAACCGGGACAGAACCAGCGCCCCAACTGGGACAAGAACCTGGAGTGCCGGCGCTGCAGGCAGAGGATTAGCCTAGTGAGCCACGGCTCTGGCCACTTAAGTCAGTTTGAAATGGATTTTCTGTTACCTGCAGTAAAACCGTACCACTGGATAAAAAAAAAATTTTTTTAAAGACATGGCTAAGTAAATGAATATGGTAACATAAATAACAACATTCTCTAGGAGATATTTAAACCAATGATTCCCAAAGATGATTATAAAAAATATGACTGAGAATTTTATAAACATGTGGATTAAAGGAACACTTATATAAATTCTAAGCAGTTGGAATGTGGCTTGAAAACTACAGATGGGGTGGTCTTCACACAATCAGTGTGCAGACTTGTGTCTGAAAAGCACTGGTATAAACCACCTTTGGGAAAGAACTATTTCTAACACAAATTAAAAACTATGTATAGATGTCAATAATAAAATATCTCATCCTATCTTCTAAGGACCTGAAATAATACATTCCACATTTATTCTTATTATAGATTTTAGTATATTATATGTAACAAAGAGATAAATATTTCTTCAAGTTACTACCACCATGGTAAATGACCAAGACTCATAAATTTATTAACAGGTCCTACATCTGCTGAGTGGATATATTTAAGAACAAAAATAGAGGGAAACTGTCAAGGGCCCTTAAATTAATATTTCTTTCAATTCTGCTATCAGTTTCACTTCACATTATTTCCATGTTAGTTTCAGCTGGTCAGTTCCTTGTCTGCTGACACTGGTTCAATTTTGAACTCAAATTTCTTTCTTGGTTAACCCAGCTCTCAAACAGAAAATATTACCTTAAATTTTAGTAATGGATGAAGAGTAACTAAATACGATGTTTAGGATATAAAAGAATTCCACACATATGATGACTATGACTAAAAATTAAGATAACTGCTCTAAAGAATAAAGAAAAAAAATTGGAGATAAGCAAAATAATTTTTTAATATTTAAAAAGCATCAATATTTCTGAAGGAGAAATAGCATTAGGGGAAATAATGACTCCAAATCTCTCATCAAACTATTATGTAACAAGCTGACATTTTAAAAAGCTGTTTAGTACTTTAACACATAAATGTATATAGAGGAACACTGGAGTAAGAGCTGTGATTTTGAGGTTCAACTACTGGGATGACCTGTTAACCTGAGGCATACACATTCCCCTGTTGTTATTCCTGCGCCCAGACAACTATAATTAGCGGAAAGATGGGGAAGAGAGGGAATGTTCTCAGGATGTGTCACATACTCTGTTATAGTTTTATTAAAAAGTCAACAAATGCTATGGTCCATAGGAAATAAAAAGTGAGTATGTATTTGTGCAGTGTGTATATGGTCACGGTAGAAAGTAGACATTTTATTCAGAGGTCCTTTGTGCACATCCACTGCACTTGAACATACTATTTAAAAAGTTGAACAGGAACAGGCATTTAACATAGTGGTTAAGATTCTCGAATCCAGTATCTGAGTACCTGGGTCCAATTATCTGGATCTGGTCCTGACTGCAGCTTCCTGCTAACACAGACCTTGGGAGGCAGCAGCGACGGCTCCACTAACAGGACTCCTGACATGTAAGTGGGATTCCTGTAGTGAGTTCCTAGCTCCTGGCTTTGGCCATGGTAGGCATTTGGGGAATAAACCAGCAGATGGAAGTTCTCTGTCTCCTTGTTTCTAATTCTCAAATAAATAAAAGTTGAACAACTAAATGTAGTCTTGCATCAAGCTAGAAGATTAAAGAGACAACGGGAAAAGTTTTCTGTATGGTTCTAAAAAACATGTCAACATCTCTTGTATGTTAAAGTGCAGCAAACCTGAAATGAGTACCATTTTAAGCTGCTTTGAACAAGTGTTTGGGAGAAGGATGTGGTTTAGTAGTAAATAACTTTAAAAAATATTGGGCGGTGAGAAAGAAAAGACAAGGATCCCAGGCTCGTTTAAATGTACAAATTTGTTCAGGCTCATTTTAAAGAGAAGTCGTAATGGATATGCCTAACAGTCCATTCCTGTTTGCTTCTTTATCTGTGTTTTCAATGTTGGTTATAACCTACTCTATCTTGCCACAGGAAGGACACTTCCTTAGAAAGATAGCAGACTGACTTTTAGACTTCAATCTAAAGAAGAGCTGAAATAACAGTACAATGACACCATATGCCTTTCAGCTATACCCATCAATTACCATTTCTGCCATACTGGCTTTCATTCTTTCTGTATATGTATATACGTGCATGTACAGATTTTTTCTGAACCATTTAAGTGTAAGTTACAGGTATTGTGACATTGCACTACTATATACTTCAGCTCACATCTTTGAAGAACAAGGAACTGTCTTTACATGATCCAATGCCATTATAACACCACAATTAACAGTTACTCTATAATATCGCTTGAACATATATTCAAATTTGAACATATTCAAGTTTCCCTACAAGGACCCATAGTGTTTTATTACTGTCTAGAATCAAGTCAAAGCTCATGGTTACATTTGCCCATGAGTATCTCTTTAACCTACACTGGTTCCTCTGTAATTTTTATTTTCATGACACTATTACTTTCTATGAAGAGTCCTGAGCTATAGTCTCTGTAATATGCAAACTGAAACAAAGAAATTTCCCATTCCTAAAAAATTCCAAATAAAGTATAGTTTTTATTCCCTTTTTCAGACCAAGTAGACAACAGTATAAACTAATACAATGTTCAATGGTTAATTTGATCAAGGGAGTAAGTATAGACGACATGGGCACAGAAACTTAAATATCTAAAGCCAAAGACTCCAAAAACCTACAATAGCCTAGAAGATAATATTTCATATATAACATGGGTAAATATGTATTTTATTACATACATTTGATAAAAGGCAACAAATATTGATGATTATGATTTTTTTTTGCCTCCTATCAGGAGACACACCCATAGGTTTAACTTTTCAAACCTGAGTAGTTCCAAAGAACTCTCCCTATCTGATATCACCTTAAACACCAATGTCTCTCTGTCTGTTATTTTTTGTCATTTGTCTCTTCGTAAAAACATACTATATTGATTAGGTTAAGAAGTTTAGCTGGCGCCGCGGCTCACTAGGCTAATCCTCCGCCTTGCGGCGCCGGCATACCGGGTTCTAGTCCCGGTTGCCCCTCTTCCAGGCCAGCTCTCTGCTGTGGCCAGGGAGTGTAGTGGAGGATGGCCCAAGTGCTTGGGCCCTGCACCCCATGGGAGACCAGGAGAAGCACCTGGCTCCTGCCATCGGATCAGCGCGGTGCCCCAGCCACGGCAGCCATTGGAGGGTGAACCAACGGCAAAAGGAAGACCTTTCTCTCTGTCTCTCTCTCTCACTGTCCACTCTGCCTGTTAAAAAAAAAAAAAAAAAGAAGAAGTTTAAATTCTGGGAAAGGCACTGGGTTAGATACTAAAAAAATAAAAAGCCTCTAAGAAAAGGAAGACTTGCCATAAAAGGTAAGCATCAAATAGTCACTGAGTGAACTCCATCTTTCTCACTGAGACAGTGTTCACACAGCTGGAGAATTCTATAACTGAAGAAAATGTGATTCATTTCTGGAGGGTGGTATTGTTAATACTTTATTATCTTCTTATTCCATGCCAAGGGAGTTTATCGTGAAAGCTTATTTCTGTTTGTTTATTTTTGGGTACTATAGGGTTAAACTCCAAATAAGTGCTTTCATAGTGTAAAAGATCTTTTTATCTTTTCTCTATAAAGCAAAACAATATGGTGATATATTCTATTTACTGATGATAAACTCTATTACATTAGGCCAGGGTAAGATCCTGATGGGCCCTTTGGGCAGTGTGTGCACTGGATATCAAAACATTTGAAAAATTAGTTCCAAAAGGTCTTTCTAGATCCATGTAAACATCATTTCATCTTTTTGTCATTCTACTACCCACCACGGTTATTTCTCTAGATCTTCTTCTCTCAACACAATGACTATTATATTTACATGGTTACTCACCAGAAACACCTCTAAGAAAGAGAAGATTTGGCATAAACTAGACTTAGGACTTTCATACTTTGTCTTTTTTCTTTTCTTTTCTTTTTTTTTTTTTTTTTTTTGCCAGGCAGAGTTAGACAGAGAGAGACAGAGAAAGAGAGTTATAGACAGTGAGAGACAGAGAGAAAGGTCTTCCTTCTGTAGGTTCACTCCCCAGTGGCTGCCACAGCCAACGCTGTGCCAATCCAAAGCCAGGAGCCAGGTACTTCCTCCTGGTCTCCCATGGGGGTGCAGGGACCTAAGCACTTGAGCCATCCTCCACTGCCCTCCAGGGCCACAGCAGAGAGCTGGCCTGGAAGAGGAGCAACCGGGACTAGAACCCGGGGTGCTGGTGCCGCAGGTGGAGGATTAGCCAACTGAGCCACGGCACTGGCTCCCATACTTTGTATTCTTAACCTCACTTCTTTTCTTTTAGCAAGATGCCCTCCACACTGAAAAAGTAAAAACCTTCTTGTTACAAAGTAATAATAATTTATTTTTTGGCATGATTCCTTTACCTAGGACTGTTCTCCTAAGTGGCTCGAATTATGTATAGCCTAGCCTCAACAGTACTAGAGGATCAACAACCATGTGGCTAGTCTGGCAAAAGCAAGGGGTAGAAGCCATACTCCCTGTATCATTACATACTCCTCCAATATAAACTATGCCTCTGATATGCGATAGACTGCAGCAGGATATGTACTAAATCTGCTTTTTTTAAAAAATAATGCTTTTACTTATTTGTTATTCATGTATTTTCTCCTGGGCCCTCTGTAAAGAATGACAGCAAGCCAAAGCTGGCAAGTACAGCTGATAGCTGCCAAAGCTTCTCATGTACTCTCTTTAACATCAGATAACCAGATGGCTTCTACAAACTGATATTCATCTTATTGATAAACAAATTACTCTTTCTTCCCGTGCTTGAAGGATCCATGTGCAACTGACTTTGCCAGCCAACATTTTTATCAATTAGTTAGACTATTATAAGAGTATTTGAATATTATTATCTAAGTACGGAAGAAGTTCTGTTTGGAAAACCAAATTATAATTGATTATGAATTCAGTATTCCCTTTTAATATGAAGTTAAGGTACAAAGAATAAAGCAGATCAACAAAAGACAGCCTATACAAAAGATATCAATGCAACTTTACACATTTCAGATAAATAAGTCAGACCATCAAATTAATTTATTAGGAATTTCAATGAAATGGTTTGACTTGGTTGTGACTAACAGTTATTACTATAATGTCATTATGCTCTGTACATATCTTTCCAATAAACATGCATTACTTTTAGCTTATGAATGGAATTCATCTTTTGAACAGAAAATTTAAATGTCCGAGGAGAAAAAACTAGGAAGAATGCTTTTAACTGAAACAAAAAGATGTAAAGAGAATAGCAATTATTTCTATTTCCACCTCTCAGAATCAAGATTAATATCTTGGAATACCTTTAGCCAGTTTTTTTTTGTTTCTTTAACTAAAAATGATTTCTGTAAAATTATGCCATTATCTTAAAAATGTAAGCAATGCTGTGGCCCAGGAGGGCAGTGGAGATGGCCCAAGTGCTTGGGCCCCTGCACCCACATGGGAGACCAGGAGGAAGCACCCAGCTCCTGGCTTCGGATCCGCGCAGCGCCAGCCGTGGTGGCCATTTTGGGGGCTGAACCAACGGAAGGAAGACCTTTCTCTCTGTCTCTCTCTCTCTCACTAACTCCATCTGTCAAATGAAAAAAAAAGTAAGCAATGCATAAAATATAAAGAAAATTAAAGTTTAGCTAAAACTAATATAAAAAGTAAAATGAACACAATTCTTCAATAACAGAAATTTAATTTCCCTTTTTAAAAACTTTATAACCTTAAAATAAATAAAATATTTAAGCTATCAGAGACCTCTTCTAAAATTACATGTTTTAAATGCTGCATTGAGGGGTTATTTTGCTATAAGATGGTAGATGAGTGTATTTATTTACCTTCTTCCATATGTACTTCTAAATTTCTGTTATCTTTTTTTAAATTCTACACCATAATTTTATTCATTTTTAAAGAGATCTTGATGTTAAGCTCTTGTGTGAGCTGCCTACAGAAATATTTTTAAAGATTTCCTTAAATAGAAGGACATGGATGCTTAACCAAAGGAGAGAAACCAACTACATATGTTTCAAATTGTCTTCTTTATGTCTGTTATTTTGTCCCTCTATCATTTCTTTTTATCTTCAGATACTCTATAGTTCTCTTTTAAAATGTATTTTATCCTTTAATGCTTTTATTTAAGGTAAACAAATTTCCTGTAATTCATATATTACATCAACATTTATAAGAAAAAGTCTCATCTTTAAACATTATTTCCATATTTATTTGGTATCAGTATTTAAGCTAATTATTCAACACCCATTTTTTTCTAACAGTGCCTGCATTTCTTAATTCTTTATTTTAATTTATTTTAAGCTGCATTTAATTAACTAGTAGCTTTTTCAAGAAATCTCAGGAGAACAGTACTCCTGCAATTTTCTTTTCTTCAGTTTATTTCAAAGGAAGAGAAACAGAGACAGACAGAGAGAGATTTTCCATCTGCTTATTCACACCCTAAATGACTACAACAGCTGGGGCCATGTTTGGGTCAGGCCAAAGCCAGGAGTCTAGAACTTAACTGGGGTCTACCACATGGGTGGCAGGGACCCAACTACTTCAGCCTTGTTTGCTGTTTCCAAGGGTGCACATTAATAAGAAGTTGGAATGGGTTCTTTCGTTCTTCTTCTTCTTCTTTTTCTTTTTCTTTTTTTTTTTTTTTTTTTGACAGGCAGAGTTAGACAGTGAGAGAGAGACAGAGAGAAAGGTCTTCCTTCTGTTCGTTCACCCCCAAAATGGCTGCTATGGCCGGCGCGCTGCGCGGATCTGAAGCCAGGAGCCAGGTGCTTCCTCCTGGTCTTCCATGCAGGTGCAGGGCCCAAGCACTTGGCCATTCTCCATTGCCCTCCTGTGCCACAGCAGAGAGCTGGACTGGAAGAGGAGCATCCGGGACAGAATCCGGTGCCCCGACCGGGACTAGAACCTGGAGTGCCGGCGCCACAGGTGGAGGATTAGTCTAGTGAGCGCAGCGCCAGCCTAAAGTTGCATCTTTTTTTTTTTTTTTTTTTTTACAGGCAGAGTGGACAGTGAGAGAGAGACAGAGAGAAAGGTCTTCCTTTGCCGTTGGTTCACCCTCCAATGGCTACCGCAGCCGGCGCACTGTGGCCAGCGCACCGCGCTGATCCGATGGCAGGAGCCAGGCACTTATCCTGGTCTCCCATGGGGTGCAGGGCCCAAGCACTTGGGCCATCCTCCACTGCACTCCCTGGCCACAGCAGAGGGCTGGCCTGGAAGAGGGGCAACCGGGACAGAATCCAGCGCCCCGACCAGGACTAGAACCCGGTGTGCTGGCGCCGCAAGGCGGAGGATTAGTCTAGTGAGCCGCGGCGCCGGCTTCAAGTTACATCTTAATTATCAAATACCCATCATGACCCAAGAGTACATTTTTTTCACACAAATGTGTTTAACATACTTGAATGACAATTTTTTGACTGTGATATTTTTGGGTCACTCAAACTCAGACTTTGTAAATTATTACTTATTTTTAAAAGATTGACTTGCTTATTTGAAAGGCACAGTTACAGAGAGAGGGAAAGACAGAGAGATCTTCCATCTGCTGGTTCACTTCCCAAATGGCTGCAAACAGCTGAGGCTGGGCCAGGCCGAAGCCAGAAGCCAGAAGCCAGAAGCCAGGAGATTCTTCCAGGTCTCCCACTAGGGTGTAGGGGGCCAAGCACTTGGGCCATCTCCCACTGCTTTCCCAAGTGCATTAGCAAGGAACTGGATCAGAAGTGGAGCACCAGGATTTGAACCAGTACCCATATGAGATGCCTTTGTTGCAGGTAGTGGCTTAACCTGCTATGTCACTACATCAGCCCAGAATCTGTAAATTAAGAGAACTTTCTGTGATCACAGAAATGCTCTGTATCTGCACAAATATTGTAGGTAAAAGCTACCATATAACATGAGGTATTAGTGTCACTGAAGGAACTGATTTCAATGTTGTTTAATTTAGATCAATTTAAACTAAATTAGCACATGTGGCTAGTGCCTATTGTATTGGAGAGTGCGGCATAGACATTATCCTGCTGGCTCAGCACACAGGGTACGCAGTGTAGAAATCTGGAGGACAAGTCTTAATCTTCCCACCTTGCAGATCACCGAAAGTATTTAAGGGGTATTCTGTGTTACATTTTCCTAGAACCCAGGATGTTATCTGAATCTTAACCTTAATTTCAAGGAACTCATCTTGTTTATATCTTTGAACACATCTCCCTTCCATGTGTTGTGGGATACCAGTTCCCCTTAGAGATATATTATCTGTTATCATGTCTTAGCTAATAGTTGATTTCCATTCTTACTCTCTGGCCTCACTGTGATTATCTGAAGTTTTGTTTGTTTGTTTGTTTGTTTTTGTTATTTTGTTGATGATTGGAGTGGGTAGCTCTAAATGAATATTCTGAATAAAGTACAGGTGTTCCTCAACTTTTAATGGGGTTATGTCCCAATAAACCCACTGTCAACTGAAAATATCTTAAGTAAAAAATGCATTTAAGAGAGTATCATACCACTGTTTTCCAGAGAAAAGATCAAAATTCAAAATATGGTTTCTGTTGAATGCATTGTGCTTTTACACTATCACAAAACTGAACAACCCTTAAGTCGGGGGACTTGTCTATACACAGAACCTTCTACTTGCTTTTATGAGCACAGAATATAAGACTCTTACAAAATTCTTATCTTCTTCCTAAAAATCATTGAGCCATTATTTGTTGAGCGCCTGTTATATGCCAAGCACTACGAATATAGCAGTAAATCAGTCAAAGCTTTAATATATGCACATGTGGATGTAAGAGTTAATCTTTAAAGTGAAGATAATTTTATAAATTGTTAAGAGCCAGAAAGAATATAAAACATGTTGATTAACAGAAAGTGACAGCATAAGGGTTCTACTTTACTTTTTTAAAAAAGATTTATTTATGTATTTGAAAGGCAGAGTTACAGAGAGGCAGAGGTAGAGAGGGGGGGGGGGGAAGTCTTCCACCTGCTAGAGAGAGAGAGAGAGAGAGAGAGAGAGAGAGAGAGAGAGAGAAAGTCTTCCATCTGCTAGTTCACTCCCAAACAGATGCAACAGCCAGAGCTGGACTGATCCAAAGCTAGGATCCAGGAACTTCTTCCAGGTTTCCCACATGGGTACAGGGGCCCAAGGACTTGGGCCATCTTCCCCTGATTTCCCCAGCCATAGCAGAGAGCTAGATTGGAAGTGAAGCAGCCGGGATTTGAACCAGCGCCCATATGGGATGCAGCGCAGCAGGCAGCAGCTTTACCCACTGTGTCACAGCACTGGCCCAGGGTTCTACTTTACAAAGGTGGTCAGGAAAAATCTCTATGAGTCACTGACTTCTCAGCTGAGATTCAAATGATGAGAAGGAACCAACCAAGGGAAGATGACGGAGCACACAATTACAAATGTAGGAAAGAATTAAGAGCAAAAGCCTTAATGGGAACAAAGAGCTTGATTCAAGAAGCCAAAAAAAAAAAAAAAAAAAATCTGTGTTGCTAATAACTAATTAGTCAAAGAATGTAGCTTAAGATGCAGTCAGAGAAACATGCAGTGGCCAGACAACTCAGGAACTTTAAGGCCAGGGAAGTGGTGTGACACCTGCTAGGTTGAGCAAGTTTCTTTTGTTGCCTTTTCTCTATCATTATCTGAAAGTTTCTAATTCTTATATCCCTTCTAGCAAAGTTACCTTAAAAGTGATGTCAATGTATGTACATTTTTAAAATTATAATCATAATCCTAAGGATTCATACAGAATTAAAAAGTGAACTCCTACTCTCTACTCTTTTTGTGCCAAGTTTACTCTCCCCAGAGGGAATATTTCAAAATTTCTGATGCAATCACTGTACACATTTCCAGTGCATGTAGCCATGCTATGTGCATATGTATTTAGTATACATGAATATTAATGTACAAAATGTATTATATTAAATACAATTCATATGCAGGAGCACATCTCATATGTATTAAGAGTATATATTTATACACACATATCACTCATACACACACTTGCTTTTTTTTTTTTTTGAAAGGCAGACTTTCAGAGGCAGAGGCAGATAGAGAGGAAGAGGTCATCCATCTGCTGGTTCACTCCCCAACTGGCTGCAACTAAGCCAATCCGATGCCAGAAGCACGGAGCTTCTTCCAGGTCTCCCACGTGGGTGCAGAGGCCCAATGACTTGGGCCATCTTTTATTGCTTTGCCAGGCCACAGCAGAGAGCTAGATTGGAAGTGAAGCATCTGGGACTAGAACGGGTGCCCATATGGGATGCTAGCATTGCAGGTGGCAGCTTTACCTGCTATGCCACAGTGCCAGCCCCCACACTTCCTTTTTAATAGACACAAGAGGAAATGTGATATATACTGTCTATAATTTGCTTTTTTCACTTAATGTATCCTAAAGATGTTTCTACATTATATCTTAAAGATGCAGAATATCCCAGAGTGTGGATATAACATGGTTTAACCACTCTCCTATTGACTAGTAATGATTAATTTTCCAAAAAAACTGTACTAAAACTAATGTTGGATCTATTTTAAGGAGTTACATGGGGGCTGCTGCTGAGGTGTGGCAGGTAAAGCTGCTGCCT